AAAAAAAAACTGTCACCATAAGTCCAAAAGTTTACACAAGTCAGATTACATAGGTATATTTTCTGTATATAAAGAAAACCATCACTTCTTCAGTGATAGAGCTTGGTGATGTTTCAAACTGTTAAACACTGCCACCAACTGTTCAGGAGGATTATTACACCCCTAAAGGTTGCTTCACCGTGGAAGGGGTGTGCACAGCAGGGTGGCCAAAGATTTGTCTGTGGCGGTCATGGCCACCCCCTGCTCCGCCTCTGCCTGTTAGATTAGAAATGTTCAGAGTAAAGATTTAATTCATTGTCATACGACACAAGACTGGAAAGTAAAGTCAGATGTAGTCCTTCAAAAATACATCACCAAACTGTGTAATTTTCAGAAATACTAAAATGAAGGGTATAATTCATATTTTTCTGTTTCTGCTGCAGGGGAGCACTCCGTCACCCAGAGCTGCTCACGCCTGTGCTACAGTTGGAAACAGAGGTTATGTGTTCGGTGGAAGATTCAAGGTACACAAAGGCCAACCCCTGGTGTTTTATTACCTGCTACAAATTTCCTGTTAGAAATTATTTTCAGGAARTGATCTCAAACTTTAACAAGCATGTTAATATATTAATTAAAACGTTCAACATTCTTTTTGAAGAAGTGTATATTGCCCACCGCTTCCTGTCAGAGTTTGACAAGGTTCTAGCTGTTTTTGTTTGGGCTAAGGTTGAGTAGCTGTGGTGGTGGCCGTCTTAATTTGGGTTGACTCCAAACTTTAATCAGTTGTAGATCGAATTATTCTTCTCCAGGTTTTATTAAAATCTGATCAAAGGTTCGTGAGAGATTTTACTAAGTAACAGATAAACTTAACTTCAACATTTAAACACAGACTTGGAGTAAGTGTTGGGAAAGTTTCTTAGTTAAATTTATAAACACTTATCTTTTGTCCACCAACTTTGAATCATTTGGTCCMCAGGATTACAGACTTAATGACCTCTACTACATTGATCTGGACACATGGGAATGGCATGAAATGTAAGTAATAATCTTTTTTTTTATGTATTATAAAACACTCAAGACTGTTAATCAGAACTGTTGGTGAACCAGACTGAAAATGTTATCCTAAAAATAAAGATTCATCAGGTCATGAGATACTTTTTAATTTATTTGTTTTGAAAAAAAAAAAAACATGTTTGTGAATTTCTTTAAACCTTCCTGCTGCCCTTGGGTCAAAATGACTCACAGGGTCACAGTTTTAGGACTGAGGAATTTGGGGAAATTAAAAATTGTAAATTGTATTTGTAATGGAAATGTGGAGTCCAAATGATGCATTCAAGTGATGAGGATAATTTTTTTGATCCTGTGTTTTCTTCTTAAGAATATAACTGAATTGGTGTTGAGGTAAGGGTAGTGTCAGCAGCTGATAAAGTGAAATATAAAAATAAAGTTTATTTCAGGATATTCAAATAACCAAGTATTCTCTACATTATTTTTTATAGTGCTTGATATGTAAAAACAAAATGAATCAGTTGGTCAGGTATTTTGGATTATTGTTCTTTGTAATTCAATCTAATAAAACCTTTAAATTTGGGAGTGTGTATATTGATTTGATTTGATTTATTTATTTAACAGGAAAAGATTACTAAAAATCAAGCCTGACTCAGCATAATTGCTGTTTTACAGCAGGTTCCTG